TTCCTTTGCACCCAATATTCCCATTCCAACGCTCTTGCCACAATGAGCACATGGGGCGACATTTGTCAACCGCAAGTCACACGTGAGGTTTCCTCTTCCATCACCGCCTAGGTGAGATGTTCGTACTGGCTGTAGGTAAAGGAGCCTGTGTCCTGTTGTCTCCACTTCACGTGCAAGCAGCCGGTGGCAACCAATTAACAAGGCACACCGTTGATACCACAACCGTTGTCCAGTGGCACGGCAAAAGGCTCCAGCCTGAGTTGAGAGTACGCACTGGTCTCTCCTCAGTGGTGGATGTAACTCAAGCGTTCCACTTCGTTCAAACACAGTCAGAACGCCGCTCCTCTGCACAGAGCAGTAAGCAGCATGGAGTGCGAATGCAGCACAGTCGCCTTTTGGTTGTGCGAGGTTGCATGTCTCATGAGTGGTGCATATGTGGATATGTGGATGAGCAAGTCGAGAAGTGGATGATGGGAGAGAGATGTAGTCCAGCATACATGGAGGGAGCTTCATCACTAACTTTCATTCTACTTCAAGCTTACCAAAAGAGGGAACTGTCGCAGTGTCGCGGAAGCACTGTCAGCAAGCAGCGAGAAGGGTGGGTGGTAGATGATGGCGAAATTGTTTGCGCTTACAAAAGACTGCCTGAGAGGGGTTGAGAGTTGTTTCATTTCTGCCACCTTTGTTTGGTGCACCTCTCAATCAGTGTAAGCGATGGATGTTTGGAAGTTGGGAGAAGGGAATGGAAGGGAAAGAAAGGGAAGAGAAGGGAAGGGAGGAGAACACTGCGAGAGGGGCCAAATGTGGTAGGATGGTGAAATGGGAGAGAGTCTGGCGAGGACTGCCCACCGACGGAAAGCATGTTCCTAATCGAACCCGATGAGCGTCCGTTGTAAGCTCGAAGGCAGTGGAGGGCAGTGCTGAGCCATCACCTGGAGTGGTCAGCGCCTCCATGACCACCATGAAGACGACGTCAGACGAGTTCAATGCACTGCCAACATGAATCCTTATATAATGCTGTGCACTACACACTCATTTTGTCCTCCTCCTCCTCCTCCTCCACTTCCATGTTTACTCAAGTCTGCTTTTCATTTTATTGGCACTTTCTGCCCCGTCCTCTCGTTTACACTCCATGTCCCCAATGGCATGCCATGCTGAAGCCTCTGTGGTAGTAGCACTGTTTCGAGCACAAAGCATGCAGCATGAGGATTGGGGAAATTTGCTGATTGTGGCACAACCGCACGTGCGCACAGTCAGTAGGTCTACTCTGCTTGAGGCCATCAAGTTCTTCATCTAATGCACGCGAGCATGAGATTGGTGGTGACTGGT